AAATATCCAACAGAAAACCACAATTAGAAATAAGGTATGGAAAGTAAGTGAAAATATCCAATAGAAAACCACAATTAGAAATAAGGTATGGAAAGTAAGTGAAAAGATCCAATAGAAAACCACAATTAGAAATAATGTATGGAAAGTAAATGAAAAGATCCAATAGAAAATCTGAACAAACTGTACATTAACTGTGAAGTTTAATAGCAATTTAAATAATTACCTTACAAAGATATCCGGGTGAGCAAAGAAGTCAGCATACATTTCTAGAAGAGACCGTCTTTCTAGAATAAACGTTGGTAAGACCACCTTGGTCAGGTCCATGCCTATCTTCACCTGTGATAGTAAGTGGCTGATCACACTGCCTTGGCCTTCTAGGGACCCCACTGAAAAAAAACGTAACCAATCACAAGAAATGTTCCTAAGGAAACAGACAATTAGCAGCAACTAAACTGAGGAATGAAAGAACAAAAAAATAAAGAGCAAATATTGGTCAGCTTTAACAGCATTACAGTAATTCAATAAAGAAAATAAATTATTCAAAATCCACTGGCTAATCACCAAAACAATGTTGTTGCATTTTCTTTTAGTGAATTGAAGAATCTGACATCACCAAACTACGTGCCGTATTTGAAAAGATAATCTAGTTTATAGAGCTATTTGTTGTATGTACTTACAATCTTCTTCATCATCATCTTCGTAAAGGGCTGAAAATAAAGAAAATTATTTCAATGTATAAAGCATTCTGGTTTTTTACAAATGGTCATTTATTATAGTTCACGACCTCGACCGGTAGCATAAAACAAGTGAAAAATGACCAGCTGATTTACTTCAAGTTAGAACCACATTGTAGAATGAACAATTCTATCAAAGTTAGAATTTCAAATGTCTACCCTTCACATCTAATTTAATGTGTCTGCATAAAAGAAATGGTGTAGTACTCCAGGCTGTAGGAGTTTAAAAATTAGGAAACTTTGTATTAAATTAAGATTTATAATGAGACGATCATCTCTCTCTGTTCAGCATTTGTCTACATTGTACTGACACATGCTCATTGATTTTCTTTTTTTACATAAAATCAATAATTCATAATAAAAGCCACAAAAAAATGCAAGGGCACAAACACCCATGTCTGATCTATCACCACAATACTACTGTCTCAGAAGCACCCACTGCCAACCCTTGGGTTACTCTTCACCAATAAACAGCAGGATTGACCATTACATTATAATATCTCCACAGCTACAAGGGTGACAGTATTCAAGGTCGGTTTCGATCCCACAGATTCTCACCAACAAGTGCGTGGACCGTGACAAGGAGATTCGAGAAGTCAGTGAAAGTAATTTATGTATATTTTTTTGGTGAAACATTTAATGTAAGTGAAGTTGTTTCACCATGTGACAAATAAAAATGGAAATTAAGTTTGAAGAAATAAAACTAAACACTATTTACAGACATATCTTAATTAAGGTAACGAAATTTTAATAGACAATTTCATTCATAAAAAATTTAATTATATATATTCCAAATTTTTAGTTTAACATCCTGCCGGCTCTAAATTGCCACATTCCGAGATAAAAATAAAATATTCATAATTTTTTTTTCTGACTCGGGAATAATCAAGCGTGAAAAAAATAAATAAATAGGTTCCTTTGATTTTTTTTATCTTCAAATCACCATCAGTCTTCCGCCCAAAAGAAAAGAAAAAGTGAGCTGTCATCACTACCACAATTCCTTGATTTACGTTGTTTGTCGTGTGCTTATCATCACAACCACAATTTCTTGATTTACGCTGTTTGTCGTGTGCTTATCATCACTACCACAATTTCTTGATTTACGTTGTTTGTCGTGTGCTTATCATCACAACCACAATTTCTTGATTTACGCTGTTTGTCGTGTGCTTATCATCACTACCACAATTTCTTGATTTACGCTGTTTGTCGTGTGCTTATCATCACTACCACAATTTCTTGATTTATGCTGTTTGCTGTGTGCTTAAAACCCTATTGTTCTGGGTGCAATATTTTCATTACAGTGAGAGATAAGAAGGTGGTTTTGAGAGAATTATGCACAACTACATGCATCAATCTGAAATCATGGTGAACTCGTGGATATCATTTGCATATGAAAAATGTTTAAGAAGTTTGGTACAAAAAATGCTTGCTTCGGGGAACTATGGGTGACATTGTGTTCAAACTTGTCATAAACTTTTTTTTTTTTTTTTATGACCACCTGCTATAGTTAGTATAAAAAGACAAGAATAAAATCAGAGACTGATTTAAATGTGATGTACCAAATGATCATTTACATGTATGTAAATTAAAATTAGTGATGAAAAAACACCTGTGATATTAAACAAAGTTTTCTGGATTGTCTTTAGCCTTAGGTTTTACTGAGTAAAATTAATCTTATAATTCTATCATATAGGTGTTACAATAGATTTCCAACCGGTGTTATAATTCTATCATATAGGTGTTACGATAGATTTCCAACCGGTGTTATAATTCTATCATATAGGTGTTACAAAAGATTTCCAACTGGTGTTATAATTCTATCATATAGGTGTTACAATAGATTTCCAACTGGTGCACTGGTACTCCTTTGACATGGACAAACTGCACAAGAATGAAGAAATCAAGGAATTGAGAAGAATTCATGCAATAGTCAGACCTATTTGTAACATGTGCTTCTCTTCCAGCAACAAATCAACGACCCACCATCTTTACAAAGTTGCTAAGGAGTGACATGACCTTGTATTTAAATTGATGAATAAATACATCAGGATCTTGTATGGCTTGGTGTTTTTATTATTACACATTCTTGTGAAGTTCTGTATCTATAAAAGTTCCGTTTGACTGGTGCAACCATTTTGCTATCACCCTCTCCTTCTACTCTAACATATTTTCCAAATAAATTGTAAAACTATAAATAAAAAAAATGCTTGCTCTATATTTCTTGAATGTGACTGGTGTCAGTATTGCAAGTGACATTGTGTTACTCTATAATCCTTGATCATGTTTGATGTCAGTAGAGTTTTTATTGATGTTACGACAGAGGAAGTCACACGACGCTAGAGTTTCTCGAAGGATCATGAATTTGCCCAGCAACTCTGGCCTGATCGAGACGTCCTCTTTTTAGTATATAATCCTGGAGAGAAAAACCAGCAGAAGGAAGAGATGGATTGAAGATAGAGATAATTGAGTCAAGCGGACAGTAGGCACCATAAGTAAAGTGTGTGAATCACTGTG